CCCCCCCCACGAGCTTCACAGTCATAAGTTTGGTTTTGCTGAGCTGCATAATAAGGGCTCCATTTCAGATATGCTTTTGGAATCTTGGACAGCGGGAGCAGCTAAGAAAGACTTGCCCTTCAAGGGGGAAGATTCAGAAGTCTAGAGTCCCCTCCCAGAGGCTGTGGAGAAGGCTTTTCTTTAAATAGGGGAGGTGGGAATATCTTTCAACCTCTCCCTTTTTATTTCACTGAATCTAAGCCCTGGGGCACTGATGGTGGGGCGGGGATACCCAAGTGGCCTCCCTCCCACCTACTTCCTGGTTATACCTCCCCACCCCCTTTCCTGCATTGTGAGTTTAATTAATGTAATTAACATTTACAAGGTGCTGTGAAATAGCTCTGCTGCTGGTGCCAGCCTGGAGGAAATGAATGACATCACTTCTCAGCTTCATGGATGGGTTGGGGGGATGGTGCGTTTCAGGGCCTCCTCCATGAGTCTAATTGGGGATGCCACTCACCCTGATGTCTGCCACATTGCATTTGTACACGTCTGACCTGGTTCAGTTTGAACACGAGCACCCTTTACTAATGAGGCAGGGCCTTGCAGGAAGAACCTTGAGGGTGAGCCCACCTTTCAGTGCTGCCCACCCTTCAATCACGTGCTGGACCCCAACCTCTGGGAGAGGGTCAGTCAGGGTTCACTCTGCATCAGGAGGTTCGATCACTATCTCCTGTGAAGGTAAATACTCTGCTGGTATACCCTTTCCATCAGCCAAAAAACTGTAGCCCCTGGGATGGGGAGGGTGCATTGTTTTAACTTTATCCTGTACAGCAGTTACAGGCACGTGTCCTGGACTGCCTGGGCATGAGTCTTAGGGCTGCTACTTTGTTGGGTGACTTAATTCATCTGAACCTGTTGAGAGCAGATTGATAACAGGACCTGCCTCAGTCTGGAGTGCAGGTTAAGAGATGTTCCTACTGCCTTTAGCTTAAAGTAGGAACCTGGGAACTGTTACTACAACCGCCTAGTGACAAGGCGCAGTTCGAAAGCTGGTATGCCAGCCACTCTGGGAAAATCCCATAGGAAGGTGCCACCTCTTTCAGGGAGGTAACATAGCCAATTTATCCTTTAGCCCTGGAATGATCACACAAGATAAAGCAGTGGGCTTGTATTGGGGGAATACATTATCCGGGAAATGTCAATCTTGAGTCACTAGAAGCCAAACAGATATATGGGATGAGGTGTGGGAGATTTGTATCTATCCTTACACACCAGTCCCTGATGCTGATTTCTTCCTGTTGCCAAGAGCATGCATAGTTAAATTTGTGTGTTCTTACTTAACTTCCCTGGACTCAAGAACTTCAAGTCACATTGATCAAGTATGTCTTATGTTACTTAAATTATCTGCCTCAGTTTGCCCATCTGTAAAATAGGGCTAATAGTATTTACCACATTTAAGGATTAAATGAGTTAATACAGGTGAAGCACAGAAGAGTGCCTGACATCTAGTTAACACTGAAAAAATTACTATATTATGTGAGGGGATTTGTATTTTTACTTGAGGATTGTTACTCCTCAAGTTACTCTGAGGGAGTACTCTGAGGCAGAGGCCTGTGGGAGAAAGCATCCCTGCTTTTGAGATGTGGTTTCTGGAATCTGAGCAATAAGGAGGCAAGTGGTAGGGAGGTGGGAGGGCTTCAAAGCCAAGGGAACAGCAGCGGTTCACACCTGGGGCTGACTTTACTTATCTCTGTAGAATGTGGACGGGGTAGAGGAACAGAGCTGGGCATCTTCCAGTCATGGGTGCAGGTTCTGGACGCTGGTGTGTGTGGTGGCAGAAAGGCAACTAGGGAAGTTAATGTCATCGCAAACCCAGAGTGATGAAAACTCGGAAGGAATATTTTATGAAATCACATTGAATTATATAACTGGAAAGAGTATTTTTACCTGCTTAGTTTACCCTAGGGCACCCAGGTAGCTGGGACGCTTATAGCTGGTTGGTTTTCTTCCCTGAATCTTCCTCCAGGGCCCATGGATCTGATTCCAGGGGCAGAGTTTTCCTGAATGTTGAGATCTGGCTTTGGGAAAGGGCTCTGCTCACATGTCCCTCAGGCAGGCTGGCAGCACAAGTTGGCAATGCTGAGGCCTTGGGGGAAGGCCTGAGGTAGTTAATCATTGTTGGCTCTGGGCAGTAGGCTCACCTGGGCCTGTCTAGTTGATTGACCCAGTTAGGGGCTGTCTGAGGGAAGTCTGGGTCCCCCACATGAGAGGAGGGAAGTCATGCCCTTAAGTTCAGCATATGATCTGCTACCAGCTCCTCATTAGAAACCATGAGTACCCCTTCCTCCACAGAGCTGCACATGGATCCTCCTGGGGTCTTACACCCATGGCCCAGCCTCCACCTCGTGCCAGGCCACCCAGGTTACTTAGTTCACTGGTTTGGCCTGGGGTGAAATGCAGGAAATTAATTATTACTTTGGACCACACTCCAGCAGTTCTCCTGGGATTCTGGCTGCTTGGTCTCACCGGAACTGGCCATAGGTCAGCTAGCCTGTTCTTCCAAGTCAGGGCTGAGAAGCAGCTGATTAGGCCGGGTCAGACATTACCTTTTCCCTGGGGTTGGTGAGATTCCTTAACATGTGTTGAGAGGAACTGAACCTGCAACAGCCTAGAACCAACGGGGGTAAATGCCACATTATACTCTATCAGTGTATACATTTATATCCAGAACAGTGCCTCTTTAACTTGCATATTAATCATCCATGGGTCTTGTGAAAATGTCTATCCTGATTTAGTAGGTGCCCGAGATTCTTCAGTTCTAACTGCCTCCCAGGTGATTTGAAGGGTACGGGTTCTTAAGCCATGTGGGAGAGTAGCAGAGGGTAGTTAGTTGCCCTACGCCCACGTCTGGGGAATGGACAGTTGCAGAGGATGGAATTGGGACCCCCACCCCCCCAGTTACATTGGGAATCCACCTGGGGGCGCTGTGGGACCTTCAGAGGGAGTCCCACAGCGCCCCCTGGTCGGCATGACGCCGGCGTCACCACTGCAGCCTTGTGGTCTAGGTGATGCTTCTAGAAGGGACCCCTACCCCGGATGCTAATGTGAGTCACCTGGCACTTTGTGTCATCTGGCTTTCTGTCTAATCTGTCACTACGTGGTAAGCTCCCGAGGTGGGCTCAGGGACCGAGACAGGGCTCGGGCTGAGACGGGGCTCGGGCCGGGAGTGCTTAATGCCTGCGGGCAGCCGTTCCCTGGGGAAGCTTTCCTAGGCTGGGTTCCACGTCATAAAGTTGTGCCAAATATTCTGGAGCTGTTGTGGGGAAACTAAGAAAAAGGAGTCTGGCCCTGGCCGTAGCTCAGTTGGTTAGATCATGGTCCCAATAAGCCAAGGTTGTGGGTTTGATTCCTGGTCAGGGCACATACAAGAATCAACCAATGAATGCATGGACGAGTGGAACAACAAATTGATGTTTCTATTTCTCTCCCTTCCTCTCTAAAAAAAATCAATAAAATTTTTTTAAAAAATTGAAAAAAGAGAGAAAATAGCAGTCTGAGTGCCTCACCCTGTACCTAGGCTCTAATTTTGCATTGGCCCCACTTTTTAGATGGGATATTTGTTTTTTAACAGTAGTAAGGTCTATGTGTCAGTTTTCCTCTTCTATAAAATGGACCTACAATGATATTAGGAGGAATAAATGAGCGAAAGGTACAGGTTCTTGCTGCCAACAAATGTGGGCCAGGTGGAAGGTCACACAGCGCTTGAACCCATTTATGAAGACCTGGCCTGAGCTGGTCTTAGCTGAATAGCCTAGTGATGATGCCGTGACCAGGAGGGGCAGCAGTGGGGAGACAGAGGCCCAGAGCGGGGTAAGGCTGGAGCAGATGGGGGGCATGCCTCTTGTTAACTGTCCCAGTCCTTTGCCTGTGCCTCCTCTTATCCCTTCCATTCTTGGGAACTTGGGACTCTGAGCCCCAGCTGGTGAGGGAGGAGAGGAAAGAGCGACAGACCAGCAGACCAATGGGTCCCTGAGGTTGGGTTGGGGCGGGGCTTGTGCTGCCATGGAGAAGAGAGAAGCTGTTCTGTGGGGGAGGAGGGGGCGGTGGGAAGAGGACCTGGAGATTGAGGGGAAGGGAGAGAGCAAACAAAGGGGTCAGGAGGGAAAATAATGCACTGGCTTCCTGAGGCCCTGCAGAAGCTGGGCAGGGAGAAGGGGCCAGGGGCAGAGGGGACCAAGACTGGCGGCACACAAGGCCAAGGCAGGCGGTTCCTAAATGGCATTGTTTGAAGTGGCCAGCTAATTGCACAGAGCAGCCTGAGCCTCAGACCAAGGCCCAGCCTCCTCCTCTGTCCTGGGTGCTGGCATCTGAGCCTTCGGGCAGCCCGGTCACATGGAACCAAGTCCCGAGCCTCCGAGTTTGGTGAGGGGGCAGGCTATGGGGGGCAGTCTGGGTGGGTCCTTGGGCAGGAGCATCACCCTGAGAATATTTCCTAGAGTCTCTCTTGGCCTGAGGACATAGAGCCATAGGTGGGAAGTTTGGGGGTATGCTGCCCCCTCCAGCCCTTGCTTTATTGCTACCCCATCCGTTCTGACTCTCTCACAGGAAACAATGAAGGGAGACACCAGACAGCTCAGCAGAGAGGAGGACGCCAGCGGGAGGGAAGACTCCATCCTCACCAATGGGGACTGCAGCAACCAGTCCTCCGACTCAAAGGACGCGCCCTCGCCCCCGATACTGGAGGCTATCAGCACCCCGGAGATCAGAGGTGGCCGGGCCTGTGGGGAGGTGCGGTGGGGCAGACACTGGACCACAGCTGGGACAGGCGGGAGCATCCCTTCGAGCAGGCTGCAGGCAGATTGTGGGGAGAGGGTCTGGTCCCTGACAACCTCCACACCTCCCAGGGACGGGAAGGATGTGGGCAGAGCCAAGCCCGTTTCTCATCCCTGCCACGGCCCTTGGCCTCCTTCCTCTCCTCCCACCTCAGCTGAGACTGATGAGGTGACCCCAAGGTCACGATCCCTGTTTTTCCCCCAGTCACAATGGGGGTGGTCGCAGCATAGGCTGGGGTCTTCCGCTCTTCTGCAGTGGGGCCGGGGTGTCCCCTGCATCTGGGACTGACTGGGGAAAAACACTCAGGCTGGAGTGGCTGAGGCTTGTTTCCGTTTCCACCCTTTCCCCCCCACCCCTCAGCAGTTCCCAGGTCAGATGACCTGGGATCCTCCCCACCGAGGCTTTCTAACCCATCTGGTTAAGAAATCCTGTATTGTCCCATGTTCTTTTTGAGAACTCCTTGAGCTGCACTGTCTGATAGGACTTTCTGCACGGGTGAAAGTGTTCTATTTCTGTATTCCCTACAGTAGCCACTAGCCACATGCGAGCACTTGAAATGCGGCTGATGTGGGAGGCACCGGATTGTTCATTTAAGTGTAGTTAGTGGCCACTGAATTGGGCAGCACAGTTCTGGAAGGAATTTGATGCCTTCTCTCACAAGAACCTTTGGTATTATTGTTTTGGGTCTTACAACGTGCCTGGCCCTGCTCACTGTTGCTTTATGAATACTTTGAGGTGATTATGAGACCTGAGTGGCTAAGAGTTAACCCTTGAGGATGCCAGTGGCTTTAGTGAAATCCCAGGCCATAGCCCAGAGGAGGCCACAGAAGGCTGTCCAGCAGCAAAGGAAGCCATGGCTACTGACCTGCCTGGCGCTGCCCCTTCCACAAAACACAGACTCTGGTTCGCTTTCCTCTGCAGGTCGCAGATCAAGCTCACGACTGTCCAAGAGAGAGGTCTCCAGCTTGCTAAGTTATACTCAGGTATGGGCTCTACTCTGTCTTTGTCAGGATTCAGGGGAGTTCCCTTTACTTTCATTAAACGGGGTACACAAGGCCACCTAAATTGATGCCCAATAAATACTTGATGAATGATGAATCTGAGAACTGCTAGGCACAGCACTCTGAACAACCTCACACTTAGGATGGCATTTGCTGCTGTTATATGCCAAGTTTTTTTTAAAATCATGAACATTTATATTACTTATGAAGTTTTTTTACTAGCTGGTTCCTGCATAATTTTTTAAATTACTTGTTTCTCAAACTGGATGATCAATTAATTACATTGATAAATTCCTAATGTAGCAAATTGTCCTTTTATTCCCGGAATGAGGCCAACTTCAACTTGGTCACATCATTTTGAATTTGATTTACTTTTTAGCATCTATTCATGAATAAAATGGATGTATGATTTTATTTCTTATATACCTGTGTCTAGTCTTAATGTACATTGGAAAGAACTTGCCTGGCTTATTCTAGGGAATTTTTTAGCAATCACTACAATATCTTTTAACACTTGCTGCAATATCAAGTTTTCTACTTGATCAGTTTTTCCTGGCATTACTTATGCCCTCTGTCTGGTTAATTATCCTAGAGTTTTGTCAATTTGGTTACCTTTTTTTCAAAGAACAAGTGTCAGGCATAAGGGACAAAGTCATGGATAAAAGTCGTGGACAAATGAAAGCTCCCCCTCATAGCTTCTGTTCAGGTGGGCACCCAGATGATGGGGATAGTGTGCAGGATGAGAGACTCAGGACAGCTGTTCTGGTAGATAGTTACCAGTAATAGTAATGAAAGCTCCTGCCTGGGCATTTTCTCTGTGCTGGCATTGGGTGAAGTGTGCTTTATTTCATTCTCACTATAACCCTGTTGTGTTATAAGGAGAGTACTGTTGTTCCAATTCTACTTAATTTTTTTAAATCATCACCTGAGGATATGATTTTACTGATTTTAGAGACAGGGGAAAGGGGGGGCGGAGAGAGGAAACATTGATGCATGAACGAAACATCAATCATTGCCTCTATATATATGCACCCTGATGGGAGATTGAACCCACAACCTAGGTATGTGCCCTGACTGGCAGCCTTTTGGTGTATGGGACAACGCTCCAACCAACTGAGCCACACTGGCCAGCGCTGTTGTTCCAATTTTAAAGAGAGGAATGGACTTATTCAAAGCCACATAGTTGGCAAGTGAAAGGTCAAGTTCTTAAGACTGGCCAGGTCAGACCTTGGGCCATACACCACCTCTCTTGTTTCTGAGCTCAGTTTTTGTTGGGTTTTGGTGTGCAGCATGGGATGTGCACTCGGGGATCTTCATGACTTGATACAGAACTGGTGCCATTTCTTCCTGGTCATTGTATCAAGAAGCTGCGATTTCTCCCAGACACTGAAACTGACCAGGCCTCCCTGCTAGGCATAGCCAAAGCAGCCTGAGGCGTAGGCGCAGAAGTCTGCACGATGCGTATTGCCATCACACCATTTCTTTGGCTTTCTCTTTTTATTATTTTTAATTTATTTTTAATTTATTTGTTTTTTTGTTTAAAATATTACAGATGTGCCTTTTCTTTGGCTTTCTGATTCCACTGGGGCTTTATCTTTCAGCCCCATGTCTTCAACTCATGATCCTGTGATGTGAGCCACTGTAAAATCTTTTGGGAGCAAAATTAAGTAGTTAGAAATATTTTTAGGTTACTTGGACCAATTTAAGATTGTTTTCAATATGATTGACTATTCCTTTTTAACCTAGTTTGATTATATGACCTGTTCATGATATCCTGAAGCTCATGTTTCATTTATAAAGGATCTGACGGGTGACGGAGATGGCGAAGGGGAAGATGGAGATGGTTCCGACACTCCAGTGATGCCAAAACTCTTCCGTGAAACCAGGACTCGGTCTGAAAGCCCAGCTGTAAGTCCTCACCCCTGAGCCAAGGCACCACCTCCAACCACTCATAGGCCTGTATAAAAAAACATATTTTGGATCTCCTGGGGGACTTTGAAGAGAGGTGAACAAATGTTTTGACATTAGAAAAATGATAGCAAGGCTTATGAAATATCAGTGTGAAGGTTTTCTTTCACATGGTAGTTTTTAAACTCTTAAGACACTCTTGGGAAGTGCCCATGGGTGATAGAGTTGGCATGTGGGTGGCTCAGTGCCAGTTACCTATGAGAGTCACTTCTGTGGGTGGATTCTGTGACTTGAAGGTCTGGAAATAGAAGACATTTATTGCTCTCAGTCAGCCAGTATGTTCAGAGAGCCAGCTGGCACTTGGTGACCATTGCAGCTGCAATTTATAATCCACTCTGTGCTAGGGTATGACATGTATCCTCTTTTTTACAGATGAGAGAAGATTCTGATAACTTATCAAAGGTTCAACATTAACTCTTGTGTAGGATTCCAACACAGGTCTCCAACTCCCAAGCTCATGCTGCTTTGAGAAAGGAGCCCAAGGGCTTCTCCATCCTGAGGATCCAGGACCTTCCTGAAGAATACAATAATTACTCTTATGCTTTTTGGAAGAAAAAAAAATTTTTTTTGGTTTAGAGTAAACTTGGATTTTATTTTTCAATTCAATTTGCAGGTGCCAGTTTCAGCTGCGGCAGGCAGTGGGACCTCTGTGGATTGTCCGTCAGCCCTGCTGGCTAACCTAACCCCTTATCGCATCAACGGGAGTTTCTGGGTGGGAAGTTACCAGTCTAGAGTCTCCCTGGCACCCCCACTTACCCACCTCACACACTTCTGTTGACCTGAGGCTACCTCTGTGCCCAGACCTCTCAGCCCCCTGCCTGAGCCCACGTGCCTCGGGCAGTCACCAAAGGCCTCGCGTTTATCCTCTTGCTTCCAGGTGCGAACCCGAAATAACAGCAGTGCCTCTGGCCGGGAGAGGCACAGGCTCTCCCTACGTTCTACCCGAGGCCGGCAGGGCCGCAATCACTTGGACGAGTCCCCCATGGAGTTCTCAGCTACCAGGGTTGGTTCCCCGGATGCTCAGCCCCCTGCCCCCGTCTCTAATCGGAAGGTCTGCTCACTGCATCACTGAAGGGGGCCAGTGTATAACCCTAACCTGCTTCTCTTCTTCATGCTCCTCTCCTTTTCAGGGTCTTGCCTTTCCTTTCTCTCCTGGGTGCTGGGTAGGCTTCTCTCTTAAGCCTGATGACTTGTCTCCTGGCCTGATCCTGGATGGAACTGTGGCGGGAATGCAAGAATTACCTGTTGACTGGGTTCTTGCCCCTCCTCGGAAATCAGCTCGAAACCACTGACTTCCAGAACTGTCTTGTCTCTCTGGTGTCTTCATGACTGTCTTGAGGCAGCCCAGGGCTTACAGCAACTCTGCACTCCAGTTGCAAGGTTGGGCACACAGTCAGCACCTAGGAAGCCAGTGGTCCTCTCTGAGCTTGGCTCTGGGAGCCTCTTGGCATCACTCATCATAATTTTACCTTTGTCTTCAACTGTCTGTTTTGATGGAAGCGGCTTTGCCTTCTCCCACCACTTAAGCGATACTTGGTCCTGGAAAACCATTCTTAGTGGTCTCTGTGCTCTTTAACTCACGTCTTCTCTCTTTCTGCTTGCCTGGGAAGCAATTGGGGGTGCCACTGGTCTCTGGTCACCCACCTGGTTTGCTATGGCCCAAGCTGTGTGTCCTTCTGTCCACAGTCCCTGAGGCGGCGGGCAGCATCAGCAGCAGGCACGCCGTGGCCATCCCCCGACAGCTCCTACCTCACCATCGACCTCACAGATGACAGTGTGCTGCCCCAGAGCAGCAGTACCCCTTACACCCGCCTGGCTCAGGACAGCCAGCAGGAGAGCTTGGACTCCTCACAGGTGTATGCCGAGGGCAGAGATCTAGACGGCACTGAGTATCAGGTACCACTGGGAGGGCGTGAATTTAGGAGAAAAGCAGACTGTTACCCAGAGGGAACTATTACTACAATTTTTACCTCTTTTGCCATAATATTTGAGTTCATTCTTCAAATACATTTCCCACGTGTAACATGATCCCATACCGTTCTTGTCTCCCAGATGCATCTCAAGCACTTGATTCCTCATTTTCTGAACATTACATATTTATACCTAGAAATGTATGTACTTTATAAACATATTTATACCTAGAAATGTTTATACATTTATAATAAATGATTCTGTTGATTGTAGTATACATATAATTGATTGGCATTTTTCACCTATCAGGAACTAGGATGTCTCACTTTCATGTCTGTAGTCGATTGTATTGTATAATTCATCTCGTGTTCATATCAACACACAGCTTGTTTTTAACTCAGGCATGCTGCATATCTAGTACATACGTATGTGCATATATCGTGTAGAAATCCTTTATTCTATGTACTTTACTTTGGAGTAGATCATACTATAGATATATTTTAGTAACATGCTTATTTTTATGGGTACCTCACATTTTATGACAAGCTATGGGAAAAGGGCCAAAATGATTTATTTTGCATTTTAATGGCTTTATGATATCCCATCTGATGGCCTGTGCTGGGAATATTCAGCTGATGGTCATTTTACTCTCATCTTATTTCCTGTGAATTTTCAATTGATAGTTTCTCATTCCTAGATGCTAGGTTAAATGTTACAGATCTAATATAATAAATCCCATGTTCCTATTAAACTACCAATCCTGCTGATGCACTGCCCCTTATTTTTATTTTTGAATTTTTATTTAATTTAATTTTTAAAAGATTTTAAAAATTGATTTTAGATTGAGGGAGAGAAACATTGATTTTCTTTGAGAAAAACATCGATTTGTTCTATGTATTTGTGCATTCATTGGTTGTGGCTTGTATGTGCCCTGATCTGAGATGGAACCCTCAGCCTTGGTGTATTGGCACCAACTGAGCTGCCTGGCAAGGGCCCACTGCCCCTTATTTTTAAGCCATTCTCACAGTTTTTCAACCATGAAATGTTCGAGGTGGGTAGATAATGTTCTGAGGAGGTCTCCCGGACACTTGAAGGAAGCCCCAAGTAGGACCTTGAGGCAGTTGCCATTGGGGTCAGTGGGGCGGGCAGGAGTTTTCCTTGGCCCACGTTGTCTGTCTCATTAGAATTCCTTCATGTGGTTTATCTTCCAGGATGGGAAGGAGTTTGGAATAGGGGACCTCGTGTGGGGAAAGATCAAGGGCTTCTCCTGGTGGCCTGCCATGGTGGTATCTTGGAAGGTCACCTCCAAGCGCCAGGCCATGTCCGGCATGCGGTGGGTCCAGTGGTTTGGCGATGGCAAGTTCTCCGAGGTGAGTCCAGGGTAAGGCAGGCTCTAATGGGCCTGCACCCCCCCACAACATTTTCTGTCCTTTCTGTTTGCAGTTGCCTTTTAAGATAACAGCCTGTGACTTGCTTTTTCCAGATGGGTGAGGCTATGTTTGACTCTGTATCTAGGAGGAATAACAAATTTTCCCTTGTGAATTGGCTTAAACAGACACACACAGGGTCTTGTGGGGCCCAGAGCTCAGTCTTACAGGAGACAAAGAGCTGGAAAGTCCTTTGGGTCCATGGCCACTTGGTCTCTGTTGGTTTTCTTTTTCTGGGGCAGAAACAGGAAGGGTGGTCTCTCCCTCTGAACCTAGTTTAGCCCTGGAGAGGTGGCAGAGAGGTACCTCTGACTAGCCCTAGAGATTTTCTGGTGACGGTAATAAAAAACTTTGCAGTTGGTTATTTCAGGGTTTCTTGATTGTTGATGTTAGCTATTCTCAGTTCATCTTTCTGGAGAGTCTTCCTGTAAGAGTGATGTTAAACATGAATTAGGCTGTTGTGATTCTTACATCCAGTTGAAAGGCACATTCTGAAGTCTCCGGGTTTTTAACAGAATGGTGCAGACAATAGTTTTCTTGCGATGGAATGTCTAACCTTCAGTATGTCCAGAGGTTAGGTGAGGACACAGCAGGTTGGGTCAGGATGGAGGCAGATGTGGGAATGAAAGACCACCCAGTACATTTGTTGGATTTTCCCTCAAGTTGAGGTTCTGGTTTTCCTGTGAATTGGGTTTCCTTTGGGCTATTTGCCATAAACACTGAAGTTCCCAAGGGCAAGTCTCCCTGCCTGCTGATGTCCTCATTGGCCAGCAGAGGGAGCAGAAGGACACACGTCCAGGCCTCTGCCCTCCCTGAAGCATCTAAATGTCGGTATGTGGGCAATGACTCCTGTGAAATGAAAAAACATGGATTGTTTGTCACTGCTTTGGCTCAGTGAGACACCAAATGGCACTTTGCAAGATTGGATCTGATGCTAATAAGATGAAGTGTCGGACTGTTGGCGTTATGGGGGGGGCTTACATGCGGGACCCGGTGCTAAGCCCGCATGTTGCATTGCAGCAGTTTGGCCTTGGGAGCAGCATCTGCATTTCAGGGCACAACTATGTTGAGCCCCAGTTTCTTCTAGCCCTAGAATGGGTGTAGAGTTGCCTGGTGACAGGAACACCCACCTCATGGGACCGCAGACTCGAGGTGCAAAATAGATGTGAGCGGGAGCACGTCCCATGGAGAATGAAGCATCACATGTGTCTTTTCAATTTGAACAGCACCCCAATCACCTAGTTTCATCCCTTCCCACTGGCAGCCTGATTGGTCCCCGTGTGACCTTGGGACTTGCGACATGAGACTTTATGGATCTTTAGCCCCAATAGAAGGCAGATATCAACAAATCACAAGAGCGAAAAAGTGTTTTATGCTGTGCCAAGCACTGTTCTCTAAACATACAAAGTTCAATTAATAAAAGTCTAAGTAGTACTCACAGCTATTTGTCACACTCCCGAAGGAGGGAAGAACATGTGCAAAACCTGGTGTTGAAGCATCCACAGAGAATTTCAAGACTGAGGGGCAAGGGGCCCACACCAGGGACCATGTGGATCATTTGCTCTTAAAATATATACAGATTCAGGGCACATCTAATTGTGTGCACTTGGAGCAGCATCTCTCACACTGGCAGTGTCATCCACACCTGGCAACCAGGTGCATCAGGAGTGTATACACCGTTTCTATTTTCTCCTTTTATCTTTTCCTTTTTTTTACTCTGAACTTGATTCCCTGGAATAACCCTGTGAGAGACAGGGCACCCCAGAGGCAGGCTGTAGGTGGATGTTGATGATGTCTTTCTCTTTTAGGTCTCTGCAGATAAGCTGGTGGCCTTGGGGCTATTCAGCCAGCACTTTAATCTGGCGACCTTCAATAAGCTGGTCTCTTATAGGAAGGCCATGTACCACGCTCTGGAGGTAACACGGTGGTGGGTGGTGAGGACCTGCCCCCCAGAGGAGGGTTAAGACAAGAGACATACAGAAAGCCAGCTCAGGCCACAGTGTAACCAAGGATGGCTTGGAAGAGACAGGGCCGCCAGGCAGGAGGTGAATGCAAACATGCTGGCCTAATGGGCCAGGCTGGGAAGGAAAGGAAGGGATCTGAGGCTTCCTCATGACTCTCAGTACCACTTCAGCTCCCCCCTGGTGGTTCTCTTAGTATATTGCTGACCGAGTTAAGAAGGAGGAGCACTGGAAAGTGGGGGACAGTGTTTACAACAGTGAATAATGCCTTTCCAGAGCCATCCAAACCTCCTTCCTTTTAAGTGGTGCTGTTCGAGGCCAACACTGGGCAGTAGCTGAGGACAGCTGTCTTTTCCCTTGTCTGTGGGATCCATCAGGCTGTATCTCTTTCCCTTTACCTTGACTTGGAACTGAAAAGGTCAGTGGCCTTTGTCCAGCATTTATGAGCCAGCCTCTGCTTAGTTAGGAATCCTCATGGTGCTTCTGAAATAGGACTTAATACTTGACACCTCCCCATCTTCATTAGGAAAATAAACCAAGCAATCTGGAGCTTTCTTAGAGTTGATAATACTTCTCCTATATCTAAAAGCAGCAGAGCTAATTCTGATCCTTTGCCCTCTGAGAGGGAGCTGACCATTTAAGTTCTCTGCAGGCAAACGGTCATATTTGGTGCCTGCATGGAAAGACTTCACTCTTCCCCTGTAGCCTCCTGTCTATCCCCCTGCACGGTCCACTCCTCCCTGTCACATACCATACCCAGGACAGCTGCCTGGCTATGAAAGGGCCCAGTGTGAAGGGGAATGCAGGCCCCAGCTGGGGGAGTCCCTGGGTGCGGCCTGGCGAGCACCCACCCCTGCTGTTCATCACAGACTCGCCTTTATCTTGCCAGAAAGCCAGGGTGCGGGCTGGCAAGACCTTCCCCAGCAGCCCCGGAGACTCGTTGGAGGACCAGCTGAAGCCCATGCTGGAGTGGGCCCATGGGGGCTTCAAGCCCACCGGGATCGAGGGCCTCAAACCCAACAACAAACAACCAGGTGGGAATGGGTCCCTGTGGCAGCCTTGACTGCCATTGCTGGCGGGAGCACCCTTGGGAGATGCAGCCACCCCTGCTGCCCCTCACCCCACCCCAGTTTTCCGGCAACCAGTCAGTCTCGGAGACGTGCTTTTTCACCCTGGGAACCCCCAGGCTTTTCTAGCTTCCCTGGTCTGAAATTGATCTGTTCTGAAAACTTGAGTCAACAGGAGATCAAGATGGAATCTTCACTAGCACCTTTACTTTTAAAAGGAAAAATTAAACTCTGCTCATGGGAGAGAACTTGGAAAATATTTTTTAAACAACAAAAATCACAAACCCATGAGCCACCTCCAAAAGAGGCACAACCTATCTTAACATTTTGACCAAGAGCATAATTCATTCATTATAAGATGTATAGTTTCACATTGTCACTTTCGGGAAATTCAGGATGCCTGAAGTCCAGGATTTGTCATATAATTCCTACATTTAACACAGTATTTTCTGTTTTGTTTTGTCTCTCCACCCCCCCCCCCATAAAAAGTGGTTAATAAGTCGAAGGTGCGTCGTGCAGGCAGTGGGAAATTAGAATCAAGGAAATACGGTATTCCCTTCCTATCTTTTGCCTATGCACTATTTTCTCTGCACTTTCTTTCCATTTCTTTGCCTATACAGTGGTCACTGGAAAAGAAATCTCAACCTGAACTCTCGTCCGCCCCTTCACTCTCAACCTTCACAAGCCCTCCATCCAGGTTAACTTTGTTGGGTGTGCACATCCTTCCAACTTTTTCTGTACACTAGTTGGATTCCTGCTTTCCCTTTATTTTGCAAAATTAATCATATGAGCACTGTCAAATGTCACTAAAGAGTCCTTATGATTTTTAATAGCTGCATAATTTTCTTTCCTAGGGGCAGAGTCAAACTTAACCATGTCCCTTATAGATTACACTGTGTGTGTGTATATATATATACACATACATATATGTGTGTGTGTGTGTGTATATATATATATGACATAAAATATAAGTGGAATTTAAAGAAATGTAAAGAATTCCTACATAACATAATTTTTAAAATGTTCTAATAGCCGCATTGAAAAGAGCAAAAGAAACAAAGGCGCAGTTAGTATTAATCATGCATTTAATTTAATCCAATATTTCCAACATTTGAGCATTTCCAACAGACAGGATAAATTTTAAGATATTTTGCATTTCCTTTTAGTTCTGTCTTCAAAATCTCATACTTTATGTGTTTTACAACATCTCAATTTGGACGTGAAATTTTTGTTAGAAATACTTGATCTATATTTTCACAAATGTCTAAGTTCCAAATTTTCACTCAGCCAAGTTCCAAATGAACTGGTTAATTGGATCAGTTGGCAATTTTAAATTTTTGATTAAAATTAAGTGCAAAGTACAGTTCCTCTGTCACACAAGTTATATTTTAAGTGCTCAATAGCTTCATGCGACTATCAGCCATGGTGTTGGGTATCATGAACAAATGTTTCAGGTTTCAGCTGTGGATTAGCCTTTGTCTAATGTTCTTTGCACTGGGCCTAAACATCTAAAGCGGTTTAAAACTCTACAAACATGTTAGGTATGTGAGGGGTTTTGACTTATGTCCCATAGTGGGACCGCGTGATGCCCAATGTGGACCCCTGTCATGGCCCAAATGCAGCTGGCGCCCAGGCCTAGCATGGACCTGTCCCGGGCCCATCTTCTCCCTGCACCTCCTACCAGCCTCGGCTGCCGTCTCCTTCCCTTTCACAGAAAACAAGACTCGAAGACGCACAGCCGATGACTCGGCCACTTCCGCTGACTACTGCCCCCCACCCAAGCGCCTCAAGACAAACTGCTATAACAATGGCAAAGACCGAGGAGAGGAAGACCAGAGTCGAGGTGATTTGTGGGGTGTGAGGAGGCTGGGGGACCGTTATCACCCATTACCAGGGGGGCAGGCTGTGAGGACTGCTCAGCAATGGGGTATGGCTTAATGGCTCAGTAAGAGGCTCCCTGACGCCATCTCACGCCTTTCCTCAACAGAGCAAATGGCTTTGGACATTGCCAACAACAAGAGCAGTCTGGAAGGTAATGCTCTCCCTCGCAGGCCTCGCTTCCCATCCTGGGTAGTGCTCCAGGCCTTTACTGCTTGTCTGCCCTGCCGGGGTTTAACCCAGAGCCCTCTGCCTTGACCTCAGGTTCAGGTGTGGACATCATCACAGTGTGACATTTTATAGAATGAGTTGCCCGATTTTCACCAAGACTGATTCTGCCCCTAATCTAAGTGAGCAGGAGAGGTGGGCTGGGGCCAGAGTGGATACTAGGGCCCTTTGGCCAGGACAACCCAAAACCTGAAGCCATGATCTATGGCATCGTGAGTCTTTCCAAACAAGAACTGAACTGGCTTTGAGGTAAAAGGTTCACGCACTTCATCGCTGTCACTCTCTCAAGCTAACTCGGGTCCCGTTGCCCTAGCTGGGAATTGCCACTGGAATCAACCTCTGCCCAGAATGCTACCAAATGGGATTCAGAACATGTGAGGCAGGACTGATGCTTCCTTGCTTCCTGCACTTGATGTCCTTTAGGCAACAAATGCTTATTCAATGGTTATTCAGTGCTGGGGAACAGAACAACCCTGCTCCTTTTTCCCGGAGAACCATAGGGAGAGCTTGAGTTTGGAGCAGCCCCTGATGATCCTGGAACCCTGACCCATAATCCTCCCACCCCAAAGGCGCCTCTGCCCATCTGTCTGCTTCCTGGCTGGGGATGCTTGGTCTTTGCATTTTAAAGGCCCTGCCCACCTGGTCAGTGATGTGAATCAGTCCTGACCAGCTGGTGTGAAGGGAAGTCAGGATGGCCTAATAGTTAATGACCTGGGTTCTGGAATTGCAGTTATGGCTGTAGAGTATGGTCATTAGTAAGTCCTTTTATGATGTGACAGTGAGCAAATTGGTGTCACCGTGAATAGTCCAAAGTCCCAGTCTTTAAAGAGTCTCAAAGACTTTTGTACCAGGCCTTTGGAGCTTGTGCCTGTATTTGAGGGGCCCTTGCTCAGAGTTGTGTCCACGTCTGGAGTGGGGATGTTAGCCAGGGAGCATTGTTGAAAGGAGTAAGCATGAAGAGTCCTTGGTATATTGCTAGCTTGGTGTAAATGTTCAAGAACCTTAGACCCAAGGCTTTAGCAGCTGGTATTGGGTCCCTAGCTGTCACAAGCTGCAGCTCTGCATGCCTGTCTTTCTTACAGACAGCTGTTTGTCCTGTGGTAGGAAAAACCCTGTGTCCTTCCACCCTCTCTTTGAGGGGGGGCTCTGCCAGACCTGCCGGGTAAGTCCTATCCCCACCCTGGACTTGGCGGCACCTTCCCTCTTCCACAGCTTCCCTGTAGTTCTCCAGAGAAGATCACCTGCATATAGCCATTGGGGAAGGTTCTAGTGAGGCCCTCCCTGGCCCCCATCATCCCGCCCTCTCCTCTGAGGACAGGAGCTGTCACAGAGAAGGCCATCTGCAGTGGCATACACATCCCAGCCAGTAGTTCCTGTAAAGGGCACCACGCCATCAATGCCCTGTCCTGCGAGGCAGCGGGGCCGGGGGTCCCTGGTCCCTGATTTGATGAGGGTTTCTCTCTGGCCACCAGGACCGCTTCCTCGAGCTGTTCTACATGTATGATGACGATGGCTATCAGTCCTACTGCACCGTGTGCTGCGAGGGGCGCGAGCTGCTCCTGTGCAGCAACACGAGCTGCTGCCGGTGAGCATCCGCCCATGGGTGAGACCCAGCGGGCCCCAAGGCTCCCAAGTCCTACCTGTGGTTCCTACAGCTCAGAAAAACTCAGGCACAGACTGGGAGTCAGTGGACCTGAGGACAGGGTCTAGAGTCACTCCTCTGCAGGGGTCATGGTTCTCATCTTTTTAAGACAAGGATGTCTGAGTTTGGGGAGCAGGGTGTGGAGGTCCCCCTGGAGATTAGCCACTTCTGGGGGTAGAGAGCTTTTCTGTGCAGAGCCTGTGGACTGAGGGTGCTGATATCCAAGGAAGAGGTTAGTGTAGCCCCCATCACACTGTAGGGCCTTCCAGCCCATGGGGAGGAGCAGCTGGGCCCCAGAAGGTTTCAGCCAGTGCATTCCTGTGTCCTGGGGGAGGAGGTAAGTATGTCAGACAAAGGCCTGATGTCTTAGGCCTCCCTTCTCTCCTCTCTCTGGCACAGGTGCTTTTGTGTGGAGTGCCTGGAGGTGCTGGTGGGCACAGGCACAGCAGCAGATGCCAAGCTGCAGGAGCCCTGGAGCTGCTACATGTGCCTCCCGCAGCGCTGCCACGGGGTCCTGCAGCGCCGGAAGGACTGGAACGTGCGCCTGCAGTCCTTCTTCACCAGCGACACGGGGCTTGAATACGTAAGCACAGGTTTCTGCGCCTAGCACCACCCACCACGGGAGTCGAGGGGTCTGGAATGCTCTGGAAGTCTGTTGGCAAGATTTCATAGAAAGGTCCTTTATACAAATGAGTAAGCACCTCGTACTTGATTGACATGTCCTGTGTACAGGCCTCAGGCTTCTCCAGAGGTTTTTCCTCCCCTCCTTCGTGGCCTTTCATGGATTTTCGAGGGCCTGCTGAAGAAATGGTTATAGACCTAACCAGGTCTTCTGAGTTACAAAGGAAGAGGGAAGAGAAGCCTTTGACATAGTCTTTAATTGTAGTGGGAGTGGATTTTCCTGGGCTGTATTCTGTAGATATGTGAGGCAGGCCTCAGGCCTCTCCTGTTTAGGGAGACGTGTCCTTCTCTGTGTGTGCATCTGTCTCAAAGTCTCTGTGTTCCATGTCTTAAGGGTAGAATGGCCAGTCTGTGCCAAAGCTCCTGAGGGGATCCCAGCTAAGAAATGGCAGAACCCAGGGTTTGAGTCCCTCAGGAAGGTCAGCTCGCCCCTCCCAGAGGTCAAGCCTTTCCCCTGCACCTTGACCTCTATGACCTTCTTTAACCTGGCAGGAAGCCCCCAAGTTATACCCTGCGATTCCTGCAGCCCGAAGGCGGCCCATTCGAGTCTTGTCCCTGTTTGATGGAATTGCCACAGGTGAGTTTGGAATTCCCCTTGGGATGCTGCTCACCTGGTCCAGGTGTCTGTCCTCAATACCAAGCAAGACCCCTGGGGATCATCTGTCACCTGTTTTGAGAAAACGAATGGCTTCTTGTTTCTCTCCTCAAACCTCTCCACCATTTATTTCACCCACTTTGGTCCTGTTGCATTTTATTTTTTTATTATATGCAGATGTCTTGGAAAGTTATTTTTTATTCCATAAGCATGGATATACTGGAGATTAATATATATTAATATCTCCATTTTCCCCTCCCATCCCCCCCTTCCTACATGTGTAGAATATGCATAACCAACATGCTTGTCACCCTTGGGAGCTTTCCTTGATTTATCTCCTTTAATCCTCAAAATTGCCCTGTAAAGCATTAGGAAGATCTCCATTTTACCAGAGCAGGAAGCAGTGGAAATGAGGTGCTATGCATTTAGCATCATTTGTGCTTATGTGTGTCCACCAGTGTCCACCTGCCTAAAACACTGGCAGCTTTTAGTGACTCTCAGGTCCTGGCCAGCTGCTTGTTTCCCCACCCCGCTGGGTCCTACAGACCTGTTTATCCTGGCACAGGTAGCTCACAGTAAAAAACACAGCCTTGGCCATTGTCCCCTGACTTTGAGGTTATTTTCTAAACATGTTTTTAGTGAAGATTCCTGTCCTTGTGTCTGTGTTTGATGATGCTGGGGTGGTAGATGCTAGGGCGGTGGCTATAGACCTGTTAGTTTTAATAGGTCCTATCAGTGGGCTGTACCAGTTGATACATACAGATTTTCTTCACAAAAGTCCACACTCTGCGGAGCCTGGTATTGCCACTGTGTAGTTTCTGTGCCATCTGCAGGGGTTCACATGAGGGCTACCATGTTCTTGTTGGGTCTGGTCTGAGTTCTGGATCTGACGTAGAGTCACTGGAGGTGCATTTTGTGTCTTCCCAACCCCACACAGGTTACTTGGTCCTCAAAGAATTGGGCATCAAAGTAGACAAGTATGTTGCCTCTGAAGTATGTGAAGAGTCCATCGCGGTGGGAACAGTTAAGCACGAAGGCAATATCAAATATGTGAATGATGTCAGGAACATCACGAAGAAAAATGTGAGGGCAGCCTGCACCCCTGTGGACTCTGTACCACCCTCCCTCAGGCCCTGAGCCCCACGCATGCTCACCGCCTTCCCCTGGGTTGGGAAAAGAGAACCTGTGGCCATAGCAGGCGGGCTTTCTTGCCCGGTTACCTGGAACCCAGGCTGTCAGTCCCTGCACCCTCACTCCCATCCTCCCCTGAGACTGGTTTTCTCTCTCAGATTGAAGAATGGGGCCCTTTTGACTTGGTGATTGGAGGAAGCCCCTGCAATGATCTCTCAAATGTGAACCCTGCCAGGAAAGGCCTGTATGGTGAGCATCCCTTTGCTTTGGTGGCCCCGCGAGACCCTATGTGACCTGACTGTTGGTCCAGCGGTGGCCTGAGAAGGAGCTATTTGCTTCCTGCTAGCCTTACCTGTCGGCTCTGTCCATGCCCCATTGAGAATCCTCAGTTCCCTGACATACTAGAAAATGTTGCACTGTGGGTAGAGGGAATGTAACGCATTGACCTCAGGTAGTCATTGGGAACCTACTGGTTTCAATGTGGAGGGTGGGTTTGACTTCGGCCATCCATCTTCTTTTGTGGGCTCAGAGGGCACAGGCCGACTTTTCTTCGAGTTCTACCACCTGCTGAATTACTCACGACCCAAGGAGGGCGACGACCGGCCCTTCTTCTGGATGTTTGAGAATGTGGTGGCCATGAAAGTTGGCGACAAGAGGGACATCTCTCGGTTCCTGGAGGTGAGGGGATCTGGGGTCCTGACTGCCAAGACTCCATGAGTGGGGAAGGCCCTGCTGGCAGTGAGGGTGGGGGGTTCTATGTTGGGAATGATTTCGGTTGTTTGACTGAAGATCTGGATAGACCCCAGAGTCACGGATTCCAGTTGGTTGATTCTCTTTTGTTCAATCTCTTTGGTTCCATTATTTTTGAGAAAAGCTGATCTCCAAGTTCATCATGAACCTGCTGAAGTCAGATGATGAAACCATCACTTACTTTTGGAGGCTTCATGAGCTTTGATTAAGCCTTTAACTCTAGGAGGCTTTTTCCTATCCCTATCTTGAGAATTGCTTCTTTAGGGTCTTGGGCAAGTTTGTTATCCACTTCTTAATATGCATTAAGCATTGTAGTAAATACTTGCATAATTTAATTTTCTCCAAAGCTTTACAGCTCAAGTTCTGTTACAACGGTTATAGAACTAGCTAGCTCTCTCATGCTGTGTGAACCTGACAGATGGGTGGCACAGGTATATTTTTCCAACACTGCATTCCCATAACCAGGAGCTCGGCTTACCAGATTTTGGTTTGGAGCTGCCCTTGCCACCTGTGCATTTCATAATAATCTGGCCTGCCCCAGGGCATACCATCTCAGAACCTGCAGATCTGATCTGGTCTCTTTCCCACCATTAATATGGGGGCACTAGCTGTGCCCTTTAGCCAGATTCTTGCTGAGAATTGGTCTGTCCCTTGGCTGGCAGGAGTCATGTGTCCTCCATAGCCAGGGAGCAGCCCTGTCACCTGCCCAGGTCAAGTCCCCCACTCTGGTTGCTACTTGGATTCTTCTGTGGGATCCTATCAGCTAGCTGTTCTTTCTCCCTACAGTGTAATCCAGTGATGATTGATGCCATCAAAGTGTCTGCTGCTCATAGGGCCCGATACTTCTGGGGCAACCTGCCTGGGATGAACAGGTAATAGGGGGCTCTGAGTGGGTCAGGTATCAGCCAAGTGAAATGCAGCTAATGGTGTGAGCTCGTCCCTGTTTACTTTTGCGAGACAGCTATGTCTGAGTATTCTAGAAGGAGTTGGCTCTGCTGAGAAATGGCCCCACCCTGGGCTTCAGACCAATCCCTGGTGTTATAGATTGACATCTGTTAAGATGTACAACTGCCTGGGAATCTCAGTCCAAGATTCCTCGGTCTGCTTCAACTTGTTTCCTGCTCTGCCCAGGGGCCTGGTTCTTACAGTGCTATGTGCTGGAGCAGACCGGTGTCTTCTCCCAGCCGGGGATGCTGGTGCTCTATACCCCACCTCTTCTCCCAGTTGCCTGTCCCATTGGGGAATGGAAGGAGATTGTTAGACATGCCTTTCTCCCTGAGATGGCCAAGCAGGAGGCAGAGCTGAGATGACAATTGGTAGCCCAAAGCCTATCTCCCTTAGATTTTCTTAACCAAGAACTTTCCTCAATTTTTCATTAGTTTTTTCATATTACTGAGGATTAGTTATCTTCTATATGTGGTTTCAGGGCTGTGTGGTGTTCTAATTAAGATACGAAATGGGATGGTAATTTGACATCCTAGACTTGCAAATGAGTTAAGCTTAAAAATATTCTCCTTTAGAAGGAAGTGTTGGAAGCATAAATAACTCTAGCATTTAGCCAAATGTAGACAGGCAAGAAGGTACTGGTGTAGCTGGGATGATTTCTCCCTGGGTATCTTGCATTTTTATTTGGCTGGTCACCCAGTCAGGTGATGCAGCGCCATGTTTGGGGTGAAGTGGGCTCGTTCACTCAACATCTGAGCTCTTCCTGTGGCAGTCACTGTTGTACGTGCCGCCCGGTTAGTGGTAAACATATCCGATGTAAGCCTTCTGTCATGTAGTTCACATGCTAGTGGTGGATGGGTAGAGAAGACAGGAAATGATTTCAGGGTCATGGCTGGGGAGGGGGTGGTAGATTGGAAGAGTTGATGGGGGTGGCTTCTCATTCCAGCAAGGATCTGAATGTAGGAATGGAGCCGTAGTTATTTGAGAGGTCATTCTAGGCATAAGGAAGAGGGCAAGGGGGTGGGGGTGGCAGGGCATTCACAGAGCAGTTCAGAGAAGAGTGTTCCTTATTTGGTGAGAGGCTGTGAGATGAAGACAGAGAACTCAGAAGTATGGGCCAAATTATGTGGGGCCTATGGGTCATGGTACCACGTAGATTTACCTTGGGCATTCACGGGAAGTTTGAAGCCGATGAATTGTGTCCTGGATTCATGGTAGTTTCTGGTAAAACAGATGAGAGTGGGATGAGGGCAGAAGTGAAGAGAAACAAGAGCTGGTCATAGGCCTTCAGAAAAGGGCTGACTGGTTATTGGGTGGTGCCCCAGGAGGTGCCATTCATACTCAATGCACCCTGGGGGGTTGCAACTCCGGGTTCTTTGGAATTTAGGAGGGAGGGATTAGATTCTAGATAATGTGAGAGTTGGACTTACAGGATTTGCTGATGCATTGGATGTGCTGGGGTATAAGATGAAAATCAGAGTCAGCAAAAATGCCACAAAGTTTGCTGTCTGAGCTGTGATGAGAACCAAGCTGTAACACTATAGCCGGCTCTATAGAGTTCTAGAATGATGACTCAGGCATAAACCAGGGGTCACAGACCCAACAGCCTGGAGATGACAAAACCTTAGTTTCTTTAGATCTAAATCCTAAAATAGGGAAATAGGTAGGTCTGAGCTGTGTCCTTTCCTCCAAATCCCTCATCTCCCTTGGGTTCTTAGGAAAAGCTGGGAATGGGGATAGGTGGCATTGGAAATGTGGAAAGTGAGGTCAAGGAAGACTGATGAATCTAGGGGAATGTTTTGTGTGATTCCATGGCCCCTCTTGCGAGCACCGTTTCCATTCTTACATCTGGTTTGTTTGTGACCTTGAAGTTCCTGGCACAGGGGCTGCCGAGGTGTTGATCAGCTGTGCATATGGAGCTCTTGATGGTTTCTGCTCTGGAACTGCTCAACCACTTTGATTCTAAAGCTCCACTCCCTTCTGGGTGCCTGTTTGCCTTTCTCTGCATGGTGCAAGTTACAAGGATAATTAGTGTTTTATGAACCACCTCCTGTCCTTCCTACCTGTACCCACTTTTAGTCCTTAGACCCTCCTGTGGCTGCATCCTTACCAGTAAGCGACCAAATCATGGCTTTGAGATGCTCTTTGTAGCAGGCAGACCCACAAAAGATCTAATCCAAGCTCCCAAGACACAGGTCTGGTGTAACTTGCTCAAGGTCATCACTCAGCAATGGGGCTGGGATCAGAGGGGCTCTCTTGACTCTTGCAGTCTGCTTCCCCAATCCTGCTCTACTCAATGGGAGCCTGGCTTTGACTGATACTAAAATTTGAGACAGGGGTGCATTTATTCCTAGACATTGGGCTTGCCCCTTCAAGGGACTCGTCTGTCCCTGGCTTTGGCACAGTTTTGTGCTCATGCCAGGATCGTTTTCATCATGTATTTGTAGCAAATTCATTGCCAGAGCACATTTTGCAGGCTTAGGCCCCTCACTCCCACCTTGGGAGGTGCCTAGCCAAGGCCCATTGACAGGTTGTAGAAAGTAATGGGTTTTGGCTGTTCTCAGGCCCGTGATAGCATCAAAGAATGATAAACTCGAGCTGCAGGACTGCTTGGAGTTCAATAGGACAGCAAAGGTAAGGTGTGCTCACAAACAGTCTGCGGGAAACACACTTGGTGACCACTTGGTGACCTCCAAGTGGGGACTTGACCTTGGTGTCCAATTCGTTCCTGCCCCTCTCCCCTCCCATGTGACTCCTTGGTGCTGGGCCTCTTTCCCCACATAATTGTTCTGTCCTGCCTGTTAAGCACAGAGTAGGAGTTTCTTGATAAATAATCACTATATGAGCAAAGGCAACTAGACTTTCCAATCGTGAATACATACACCATAGAGACACAGAAGACTTCAGCTGCTCCTCCCAAGAAGTGAGTAATTAATACTTTTGCCAAAGGAAAAAAATGATCTGACAAGTCATAGGTAATTATACTAAGATGTCCATAAACTTAATTCTTAACGTTTATATCAAGCTAAGCTCCGCCAAGACCCTGGTTTGGTTGACCATGCTGTAATCGTGGGGAGACTGTTGCATTTTGCTTAACCTTGCCTGACCAGCAGCTCTGCTGCTCTCTCGGCACCGTGAGATCTCATTCATGGTCACGCTTCTATCTCTCGTTCCCTCTGAGGCTGGTACTTCCTGTGCACTGAGTTCTTGGCATTTGTGGGAAGCACAAAATGTATCTGTCTTTCCAATTCTCCTGTTCTTAATCCCTCTGGGAGCCCAGCCCTGCAACCTTCTCTCCCCCACCCACTCCCCGC